AAGGAGAAAGTGGAAAAGTTATTTAAAGAAAAATTAAATATAAACGAAGAAATACATATAGAACGCGCACACCAAACAGGGAAGGAAGAAGACAACGATGATATAAAATGAAAAAGAAGAACGATAGTTGTAAAATTTCTTGATTACAAAGATCGTAAAACTGTGTTACAAAACTGCAAAAATTTGAAGTTATGGAATGAAAAAGTATACATTAATGGAAACTTCAGTGAGCGAACAACAAACATTCGTAAGCAGTTATTGAAGCTAAAGAAATACGTTCTTCAGGTAATTTTGCCAAAGCGGTTTATAATAAATTAATCACAAACTCTTTTTAAAAGACTATTATTAATTAAAAAAAAAAAAAAAAAAAAAAAAAAAATATATATATATATATATATATATATATATATATATATATATATATATGTGTGTGTGTGTGTGTGTGTGTGTGTGTGTGTGTGTGTGTGTGTGTGTGTGTGTGTGTGTGTGTGTGTGTATATTTTTTTTAACTTTTTTATGTATGTAGTGTGTGTATGAGTGTGTACACATATACATATGTATATAAAAACCTCCGCATATATTCAAAATTACAAAAACATTTAAAATGGATTTATCTGATAATATGAATACGCTAATTTAATATTAGTCGAGTTACGTCATTTTCTAGGCTTTTCTATTTTAAAGTAGTTTCTAGGCTTTTCTATACGCTGTTTTTTATTTTAATTTTATTTACTAACAACGCGTATTACGGATTGCTTACTGCTAGTTTATAGGAATGCTTTTGAAAAAGTATCAAATTTGTTTTAATCTAATACTTTTAATTTAGAAATTAAATCTGATCCAGATATTATTTATTTTAATAAGAATAATGGAAAGAAATTAAGTTTAAAGAAAGGACTAGTAAAAACACGAAACAATCATATAGACTAAAAAAAATTTATAAATAACAAATATATATATATATATATATATATATATATATATATTTTAATCTGAAAAGTGTTTTTTACCAGAGTAACAATCATTTTTAGATATTTGAAGTCAAAGAAAAGACTAATGTGTTACTTGCTTATTATTGAAATTTAGTTGAAAAAGTCAAAGATGAAAAGTTGAATAGTTGAATATTGGTAACAACAAAAACAAAAGTTATTATGGCTTAAGCTCAAAAAATAAATGAATTATTTGAAAGAATAAAAACATTGGAAACCAAACTTAACAAAAGAGATGATAAAATAAAAGAATTAGAAAGGAAAGCTGATAATTTAGATAAATTATAAAATCAGAATCAACCTAATAACAATGATGCGTGGAATGTTGTAGTTGTAAGTTTGTTGTTGTTAATGAATCAGTTGAAAGAACCAAAAGATAAAATAATGTAGTAGTATTTGAAATAAAATGTGTCTACAAGCGATCTAAAAGAAAAAAAGGTTGATGATGAAAAAAAAATTAACGATTTAATGAACGTTTTAAATGTAACTAATGAACCAATAAAAAAAACTAATTAGATTTAAATCAAAAGATGCATCAAGTCCAGCACCAATTATACTAGAGTTTCAAAATAAAGTGGCTAGAAATAAAGTGTTTAAAGCTGCATATGTCAATAGGGACAAAATACAAGATATTTACTTCAATGTCAATATGACAGAAGCTGAAAGAAATTTTATGAAACAATTGAGAAACGAGGTAAGAAAATTAAATTCATATGAGTATTCCATCAAGCTAATACTTTAGCATTAGTGATGTCAAAATTGTTAAAATAACTTAACGGCAATAACTATATGATTTAAAAGACCCAAATTTATATGTATCACCATGTATCAAATTTATATGTATCACCAAGTATCATAAGTACCATATCATAATCTGATGATATTAATACGGAAAGGCTTTTCTATATTAAAGTAGTTTCTAGGCTTTTCTATACGCGTTTTTTTTTTAGTTTTATTTACTAACAACCCGTATTACGGGCTGCTTACTGCTAGTATAAATGATTATCATTCTTGATTGTCATTTAATGATTATCACTTTTAAATAAGCCACCTCGTCTATGTAATGACTTAATAAGTAAATGACAACTGTTTAAATAAATCACATCGTATTTCAAGCTATGACGTAATTGATCCACGTTTAAATAAATCGTCTGGTCGCACAATCAATACTACTTTTCTAGCGAACTTGATTTTTCCAGTCAGCTTGATTCTTTCAGTGAACTTGGTTTTTCTTCAAGTAGCGACAAAAAGGAAATAGAAATAAATGAGTGAAGTAGTACGGTTGACCCTAAAATAACAAATTTTATTTTAAACCTGAAAAAATGGTTGATTGAAAAAAGAATTACTCAAACAGCATGATATGAGCTACTTTCTCTTTTAAGAGGCAAAAGACATCTAGCTTTGCCTAAATCTTCTTGTACCTTGTTTAAAGGGATCCCAAACTCCCAACACATGTTGTGTTCATATTATGATAATGTTAAAAAAAAAGGTTTAAACCAAATTTTTTTGATAAAAAATAAATAATGAATGCATACCGTGAAAAACAAATGTTGTTGTTTTTACCGAAGCTCGTCTTCTCCATTTTTTTCAACTACTTGGAGTCTTCAAATTATGCGTCGCAATCTACAGACTTTGGCAATTCCTTTGAAGCGCGTTTAATTCATTAAAGTTTTAGTATTTGACGTCACGGTAGACTTTTAACAAAAGAAACTCTGGAAACATTTTTAGTCGAACTGTTTTTGGTTATTTGTTTAGTTTTCTTTTTTTTCTACTTTTAATATTTATAAAGATATTTAAAAGCTTAAATATTTTACGCTTGTTCGTTGCTATAAATTGTTATTGCGCCATATATTTAATGTTTATAAATTATGAATATTGATTATCTCAATCAAGACTGATAAAAAAATGTTTCACATTAATTACCTTTATAAAATTAGTAAAAGCATTTTTATTTGGTTAGATTAATATTTCGTTTCAGTTTGCTTTGCATGAAATTCGGGAAATCAAGCGAAAAAAATTAGTTTGAATAACCACTTTGAAATATATTCAAAACAAATTAATTTAATGACGGGGGTTTAAAAGTTTTTAGAAACAAATGTAGGTAAAAAATAAATAATTAAATAAAAAGTTCAATATTAAACATCATTTCTTTATTATATTGCAACTGTAAATATTGAAATATTAACTTGAACTAAATTTACTTATTATTTTGAACGACTAAGCAATAAAAACAAAAAGCCCCTAAAATTATGCGATATTGTGTTGTTTATTTGATAATTGCTGTTGGTAATGTTGTTTATGTCGATTATTTTCATTAATATCAAAATAGTCCCAGATTAATCTGTTAGTTGCTTTGTTCGTTGTTGCTTTATTTCTAATTTAATTTTATCTCAAAGTATAAATTTATGTAAAGAAAGAAAAGTTTTTATTTCATCGCTCGCTCTTTTTATAAAAGAGTAGAACAAAAGAGAAAGAAAAGTTTCGCGTAATTAAACTTCGAATGAATAAAAGAGTTGTATAGAATATTATTTTTTTTTTTTTTCGCGTCACTCGTTCTTTTTTTAGATGAGAGAAATAAAAGTTTAATAGTAACTTTTCTTTGAATAAATGAAAATTGGAAGAGAAAAATGCTTGAAAATTTGTATTTGTTGTGTTTTAAAATTTTTTGAATTTTTCATGTTAAGGTGGTACACCAATAATATATATATAATAATATATTGGAACACCAATAAAAGTGAATTTTTTTTTTTCTTTCTTTCATTATTTAACCAATATAATCATCGCAGATTTCGAATTTTTAGTTGATTTAACTAAATAAAAAAAGCTTCACATGTTAAAACCTGTTTATAATGTATAGGTATAAAATAATTTTTATTTTCCTCCTAGCAACGCTTTGTTTATTCCGTTGTTATGCGCTTCAGAAACAAGTTAAAACCATAAAAAAGCCATAAAATACTTACCTAGCCAACTATTTTAAGTGCAAAGTTGTAAACTGCAACGACTCCTTGTTAATTAGTTCAGCATGATGGCTTTATTGACGTAATTCGCTTCTTGTTTCAAGCTGCATTCAAACTTTATTATTTATGCTGTAGTATATCTTTTATCTTTTAACAATAAAAATAATATGGGTGGATCAAAGAGAAAACAATTATCAAGCAGAATATACAATAAAAAAAAAGTAAAATTTCGTGGAAACAGATATACAAAGATTCCTTCTTCAGAAACGAAAACTTTATCTTTTGTTGAATCTGCTACACATTCTGCTTCTTCAAAAAAATTAAATATTGCTGATAGAGATTTTCAAGATTTTCAAAGTACAGATTTTATCTTTGTTATAAACTTTAGTCT